ACTTTTAAACCATTTTTTTATCATTTTTTTTTGTTTGCTCTCTCTCTAAACAAAAGGTTAAAGAAAACTGGCCGTCTTTACTTTCCAACATCTTGTATGTAGCTCAGTGAAAAGTGCAGGAAGCTGTTTTGTTCCTGGGCTTTTGGGGAACCACTGATTTGGAAAACATTTGAGGCGGACTGTGTGGTTAGACGTAGTAAACCCCCGGCTCTCCCTCCCACACACACACACACACACACCCACACACACTCGCAGATTTGCCTGACGCTACAGTACAGCTGAGTAAATCTCTTGCTGTTGTCTTTTCCACTCCCTGTAGGCATTAAGCCCTTCCAGTGTGACCGCTGTGGGAAAAAGTTCACACGGGCCTACTCCCTAAAGATGCATCGGCTGAAGCACGAAGGTAAACGCTGTTTCCGGTGCCAGATTTGTAGCGCCACATTCACGTCCTTCGGTGAATATAAGCACCACATGAGAGTCTCCCGACACATAATCCGCAAGCCGCGGATTTATGAGTGCAAAACGTGCGGCGCCATGTTCACCAACTCTGGCAATTTAATTGTACACCTGAGGAGTCTGAACCATGAGGCATCCGAACTAGCAAACTACTTCCAGAGCAGGTGAGGAGTCCGAGGGCAACGTTCCCATTATTCACAGGTCTCACCTGGATCAGACCGTTGTTAAGTTTTAGACTTTTACACTTCAAATTGACTTATTTCCTATTCTGACTTTCTTTGCACTGTGTACAATTGTTTTGAAAATGCCAGCGGCTGATGAAAAATGCCTAACATTTAACTGCAGCTACAGGATTTGGCAACAGTTTTTGGCAATTCTTTCTTTAGAGATTATTCACACACACCTTGGGGAAATGTGCTTGTTTAATGGATTTGTCTAGACTTTCACTTTCACTCTGCGTAGAAGCAGACAAACAAGGCATGTCCTGGACAGCTTTTCTTATTCCTGACCGCGGTCCAGTCTTTTTATTATTGCATGTCTTCCATTACATCCCCATCCGATACTTAAGGTATATTTGTTAACATAACAAAACTGCACAGTAGACATCTTGTAAAATCAGTCCAGTAACATCACTGTACAAACTCTAGAGCTGCATATGTTCAAATAACAGCTGTCATGCCAGTAACATCACTGTACAAACTCTAGACTCTTTTTGTTTTTTTGTTTTTTAGAAAGTAGTTTTTTATTACTTTCCATCAACTGTACTGCACTGCTCTGTTGATGTGAGACATTTCCTGAGGACATTTCCAGTCCAACAGTTGACAAAAAAGTTGTTTTTAAGAACAGAGTTGAGCTTACTGTCAACAGTAATTCATTTTTTTTTATTTTACAAGAACTGTGCAATTGAAAAAACCAAAACAAAATTAGAGCAAACGTGCACCAAAATAATCAACAAAAATCCAGAGGAAGGGCGGAGCCAATACTGCAACAACAGCAGACATTACATTTAATAATAAAAAAACAAAATAAAATAAACTAATGTGACTTTACAGTCCTGTCAGCTGTGATCCAGCCATATTTCTTTTTTTAAATTAAAACTGTTAAAATGTTTAGTAACAATGAAACCTTTTTGTATTTTACACTCAACAGTTTTAGACTCTAAACTAGGATTTAGTTCCACCTGTGTGGGAAATAAACTATTCTGTGGAAGTTCCATGGAAGTTCCATCTCTTTCTCTCTCCAAATAGAACTTCATCACAAGAAGAGGAGGCATGACGGCACATAAAAGTTGCCTCTTCCCAAGAAAGACAAGTGCAGCAGGTTGACATCTGTTTCATGTCAACATGGAACGGCAACAAACGACAGGTTTAATCAGAATTAACTGGAAAAAAAAAAGACCAACCGTAGGAGTTAAACTTGACATTCAACAACATTCGTGTTTCATAAAAAAAAAATAAAAAAAAACAACAACATTCGTGTTTCATAAAAAAAAATTTTAAAAAAACATTGAAAACCAAAACTAAACAAAGTGTCAATGTCAGGTTAACCTCATAAAAACACACCTTTGATCCTTTTTATTTTCAAGGCTTTGTTTCCACACGTACACAGTGACCTGTTTTTGGTCTGGCCACAAAGTCTGGACGTTGCGTCCTAACAAAGCTGAAGTGTGTTTTTACTTCTTCCACTTGATGAACCATAAACCTCACAGGTCAGCAGACAGGCCACTGACTCCTTAAAGTTAAACAGTGTTGAGGTCTGGGCCTGAGATCATAACGGTATGGAAGCTTTTCTGCAGAAGCCGTCGCTCAGTTTTCACATTAAAAGATTTATTGACTGCACTGTTTTCTAATTTTCTTAAGTGGAGATTTCTCGTTAAATTTGTGGAAGTGAGCTGCGGTTTGTGCCGCTCGCCATCGACCTCAGCTTTTTGCTCCCGAGAACATGCTTTAATAGACTGACGGATCATTTGTAAAAATGACTCTATATTTAAACAGGTGTTTTTTTAACACTGCTGCATGAAGTCATAGACCCAGCCGTCGGACTTCTGTGGAAATAATACCACAGGGTCTGCTGAGGATATTTTCTAACATCTGTCTGTCATTTAAACCAAGGAGTGAAACCCGATAAGGCATTATTTCAACTTTTTAGTTTGATTATAAACCCACCTTGTCGAGTCAATAATTTCTAAGACATATTTTAGAGACTAAAACCCGTGAAAACGACTCCCGTCTTTAATGTTGTTACTCCAACAGGTTTGAAGTTTTAGAAATACAGCCTGGTCAACAGTTGACTTTTATTTTAAAAAATGAAATCACAGCAAATGTCAAATTTTAACCAAACCCAAGTGGACAAAAAACTGTTAAAATTATTGCAACGGATTCTGATCCAACTCCATCTGATTTTTTTATTTTTCTTGAACCAAAACACAGCGATGATTTGAAGAAGCCTCGTTTCCTCAGAGACAAAGGAACAGGTTGTGACCTGATGTGATAGTCGTTGCTCAGACGTTTTACAACTGATAAAAACACAGCCTGCAGTGATAAGTGACAAGACTTAAATCTCTGTCTCTTTGTTGAATCTGATCATAAATGAGTCAAAGTGAAAACCACGAACACACCATCAACTTTTCTGAACATATCTGTGAAATGTCCGTGAAGGCCTGACAACTCAAAATGCTTTTTTTTTTTTTCCATCTTTACAGTGATTTCCTCGTGCCCGACTACCTGAGCCAGGTACAGGAGGAGGAGGAGGTGCTGGGGGTCCAGTACGAGCTGGACGAGTCCCAGCACCACCCTGTCTACCCAGGCAGCACCTCCGCTTCCACCACTACAACTGCCTCCTCCTCCTCCTCAGTCCAAACCCCCGTCATCTCCCAGGTCTCCTCCTCCACTCAGAACTGTGAGAATTCCCCTGGTTTCCTGTCACCTGAGCCCCTGGAAGCCCCCGCCTCTCACAAGATGAACATTGACGACAAAGCGGCCATGACGGAGGAGACCAAGATGAACGGTGTGGGTGGCAGTTCTCCAGAGGTGTTTGATGAACAGCAGCATGCCAAGGAGGTGGTGTCTATAACAATAGAGTGATTCAAGTCCAGGACTTGGTCTGTTTTGTCTTATTTCGCAGTATGTCATATGGGAATAAGTGTCAGAGCCGCGACGGCTCCAAGACGGCTCGTCCACGTCTGGAAACAACCAGGACGCAGTGATTTAAGTTACCTGAAGACTTTTGTTGCCTTAGTGTTGATTTCCACATGCAGCTCAGATGCACTTATTTGACCTTGGGTTTCACTTCTAACCAAGTCTTTTGAAGAAAATGAACATTTCTTCTTCTTTTTTTTTTTCTTTTTTTTTAACTATTGTAAAATTCCCGATTGCTGAAATGGGATTCCAGTAAAGTTCCGACTTTTCCCCCATCCTGATCCCAAATTAGGAAGTAATGAGCAGCTGTTGTGTTTCTTTCCCATATGACATGAATGCACTGCTAACTTATGTTATTTCTGTCTTAGCCAATTTGAAAGTCTGTCAAATCTAAGCCTTGCCCTATTTTTTGGAAAGTGCCTGAGTTCCCACATAGTAACTTGTCTTTGCCAACAGCGAAAAATCAAACTGCAAACTGAGCTAACGTGGGGGGAAAAACAGAAAGAAAAAAGTCAAGGATATTTCATCTGTAGTTGTTAGGGGCAGAGACTCTTGTTACTCCTTTAGTGCCGTTGCTATAGGCAAACTGTTTCAGTGTCTCTATTATCTCTATTGCAATAGCTTGTACTGTAGTTTTACTATTTGAATGCTGTGTAAGTTAGGTGTTGTGATATACGGTGTGTGCGTATGTGCATTTTCAATCAGTATCCGTACAAACATTTAATTTTCTTCAATGTTTAAAAACTTGAAATTTAAGCGACAAAGTGTTCCCTTTAGATGTTTGTGCGGTTTATAATTTTCTGACCTATTACCATTTTTTATAAACACGGTTAAATGAATCTTATACTCAAAGAGGTTTTTTTTTTTTTGTAAATTTAAAAAAAAAAAAAAAACTCACTTTAGCACTGAAGCAGCTTTTGTTTCTAAACGATAACAAAACATCTGACCAAATTTAACGTCCGACTGTACAGATATAACTGACCCAGGTTTGAGTGGCAGAAAATACGTTCATGTAGCATCTTAGCCTGGCAGGGCCTGTCAACTGTCAACTATCGTCATCTAACACACGGTATTTCAAACTCGCGGTACACCGCTGATGCTCTAAGACGCGCATGACTGTGGACGTGATAATCAGTTATGGTACAAAATAATCTATACTTGTATTCTGTCTTTGTTTTCCTGGAATATAAACTGAGAACAATATGTTGGATATATCACAACCCCCTCATGTGCTGACGAACTACCAGCATTCTCTCCTTATGTTTTTTTTTTCTAATTATTTCACAATTAAAACCCTCATATTCCTGAACTTTTAAATACCTGTAGGCGGCAGCAGAGAAGTGACTTTCTGTCATTACGTGGTGTAGTATTTCATTTGTAGCTGAAGCAGCAGGGCTTGTCTGTGAATGCAAATACTGTGAGTCCAGTCATTTCAAATAACTCGTTTAAATATGCTGTGTTCAATAAGCTTAGTCATCAGCTCCAGCTGTTGATTTATCTGACTTCATTTTTTTTGTTTGTTTGTTTGTTTTTGGTATTTTGTTATTGGTGTGTTTTGGTCAAACCTCACACCTCTGTCTGTTACCTGTGTCGTGCCTGTGTCGTGTTTTGTACTTCAACATGCTCGTGCCTGTATTATGAGAAGATAATGAAGCCCATGGTGGTCCATCCATGAGTTGAATGCTACTGACTGTGAATGGATTTCTTGTCGACTAAACTCTAAAAGTTTTCCATTGCCCCCAAAAAGCTGAATCGTTGACCCTCAGTAGGATGTCACCCTCACAGAGGGACGATTGTTATTGTAATGACAGTTATTGCTGCAAAAAAAAAAAAAAAAAACGGACAAAAGTTTGACGTCCCAATCATCAAGAGTTATGCTAATAAGAACTCGTGTTACCCTGTGCCATCCTGTCAGTCACTTTTTTCAAAGTCGTGCCATTCGCCCCGCTGACGTGGGCAGATCTTAAGTTTTTTTTTCCTCCCGGACCAAATGTCCTCTCTTTCATTGGGGATTTGCCAAGGCAATCAGAAACTGCACAGAATTTAAATCAAGCGATAATCAGTTTGAGTGGTCCATGCTATTTAGCAATCGGGTCCCGCCGTTTGGGCCCCGAAAACACTGTACGATGTTGTGCTTTTTAACAGGCTCGCCTTAGTAAATGGACCTAATAACTCAAGTTGCACAATGTCAGAATTTAGAGAAAAAAAAAAAAGAAAAAAGTTTTCTATTCTCCATTTGTATGTCATGCTTTGTGTCCGTGTCCGTATTCAAATGTTTTTATAATGAAATGCTGCTGTTTGTGAAACGCAAAGTGCCCAAAATATTTTTGTGAACCAATGGTGTGCAATAAATGGACAGGTAGTGTTTTAAAAGTTTAAAAATTGTCTTTGGATGATGTTGAGTTATGTATAAATATATAAATATATATGTATAGATATATAAAGAATGTATCATTTTTGTTTTGTTTTTAAATGTGACTGAAGGTGAATCAATAGGCCTGAACCCTGTTTGATCTGTGAAATATAAAAAAAGAAAATATCCAACAGAGGACGGCTTCTAGTTCTAATTCTTTTGTTTTTCTTTGTTTCTTTCTTTCTTAAAACTGCATGTTCTTATTGTTTCGGTGTAGAGCATGTCTGTAGGTGGTCAGGATGTTCCATCAAGGCCTTTTTGTCACTAACTCTTCCTCGGGCAGATCTCAGATCAGTTCTTTTAGCATGCCCTCTTCTGTTCTGTACGCTCGCTCGCTCGCTCGCTCTCTCTCTGTGTGTGTGCAATGTTTCCGAATGCTTTATTTCTATACAGGACATGCTTTTTTTTTAAAATGTACACTCGATGTTGTATATGTTTTCCTAGCCCTTATGGTTTATTTAATTAGAGGGAAAAAAAGGGGGGAAATGCAGTCGATCTCCATATGAGCAAATATATTTTTGGTGTTTTTTTTTTCCCCGTTTTCTTGTATAGATGCCATATAACAGCTTTTGTTAAAAAAAAAAATCTTGTTTTAATGTGAATAGAGCAGCTTTGTTTTGGTATTTGCATGCATATATATACAGTGCATATATATGTGTGTATATAAATATATATATATATATATACATATATACACTAGTGAGTATATATATGTATATATGTAAATAAACATATATACACTTTATATATATATATTGTATGTATATATACATGGATATATATATGGATATATACCTATACATACAAACACATGTATATATACAAATATATATGTGTGTGTGTATATATAATACACTCACTCCTTTTGTGTTGCGTTTTCTTTATACTGTAGAGTTACTTTAATTACTTTGAGACAGATGTGTATTTTGTGTCCTTGATACTGTATACCTGAGCTGTACAACATACACAGATAGACCTGCACAATGAATAGGGAGAACTGATGTTTGTGGTGTTTGAGTGTTTTAACCGGATCATAATTCACAGCTGTCCAAACCACTCTGTATTTTCAGGTTTGTGGATGTTCTGACTCTTTACTAGCGTTCCTGCTTTGCAGTCCTGTTGTTATTAGGAAGAAGAAGAAAGAAAAAAACATTTTTGTAACAGCATATAATGTAAATAAAACAAGTTTAGAACTTGTCAAAGCCTGGATTTTTTTCTGTCTTTTGTAAATTTGAGTAATTTAATCTTTTATTCTGTTATGAATAATGTCATACAAAATATCCCTAATCATCAGGACAAGCTATTGGCTAGCAGCATTTAGCATTTAGCTCACCTTCACTGAAGGTGGTGCATGGGATATATACTGGTGCGTTGATTTTGTACCGCTAACCTTCTGAAAAACGTTTTACAGGACAATTAAAACATTAATTTGTAGTGACTGCTGATTGGCCAGGGGATAAAAGTAATACACACCATTCAGGAGAGTCTTAGTATGGAGTATCACTGATCACTAGCATCTAATGTGTTGGCATTGTTTCAGCAATGCTAGCTTGTAGCATGTTAGCCACATGTTGGTGCCTGGCTAACATGTGGGGTTTTTCAGAGGCAGTATTCACCAAACCTGCTCTCGAGGTTCATTTTGGAAAACTAAAAATTCAGACCTGCAACTGGGAAAAGTCCACTGGAACACCACTCAAGGTCGAAGGTTCTGCTAGCAAACGGGGTAAGTTGATCCACCCTTCGAAAGTCCACTGGAACACCACTCAAAGTCGAAGGTTCTGCTACGGGGGTAAGTTGATCCACCCTTCATTTCACTGAGATCAGGCAGCCCAGAATACACACTTTAAATAAATTTATTTTTAAAAAAGATGTCTGAAATTTAGTCAAAATACTCGTACTAATAAAGAGTTAGCTTAGTGAATTTGTTTGTGATAGAGATCTCAGCTTTCTTGAATTCTTAAATATATGGTGTATTTTGTAAAAAGAAACTTACTAAAATAACAACCAACAAACAAACAAATAAAAGAAAATCTGATTATTATGGGTTTTAAACAAACAAATAAAAGAAAATCTGATTTTTGTGGGTGGTTTTTGTAGAAGCCAAACCTGTGATTATTTATTGCTGAGACAGTTGGGAACATCCTTTTTTCGACTGAGGATTTTAAAGCATTTTCCTTCAGTGTCTTTCCTGTGTGAGACATCACAGAGAAAAGTGGGGAAAATAGAGATGACTTGTAACAAAGCTGAGCTGCCAGAGAAGGAACATTTGTGATTTATTGCACGGCAAGCCTGAAGCCACGAGGACACGTCAGAACCCTGCAGTGTAACCATTTTGTGGTGAAGTGTGGAGCAAGGAGGCTCGTCAAAGATGTTCTGAGGCTTCTGTGAGGAATCAGTGTGGTCAAAACATCATTATTACGTTCATGAGCGTTCAGTGTTTTAATATCCTGTGCTGCTTGCAGGCAACAGGCCCAGTGTAATAAAGTTCCTCTGAAGTAGACAGCGGTGAAATCAGTCACATCTGTATTTCTCCGCGTCATCATTTCACATACTGCGTTTATGGAGGGCACTTTGGTGTTGGCTCTGAGATCATAACCGTGCTTTAAAATGCACCTGGTGCATGATGGGACGTCAAGATTTTTAGAGGGCACACCTTTCAGATGTTGATTTTGTCGAAAACCTTTGTCTGGGGATTCTGGGCAGAGCAGACTTTGTCTCGGCCCCAGATGTTTCCATCATCTAAAATCAATCGAGGAATCAGATTAAAAACACAAACATTGTGGTCAAGGTCATACTGTTCCAATTAATGTGTTAGACCTAATGGGCCAGAGTCGTGTTGCACAGTCCTAGATTATGAACTCCCTTCAAACATTGTTCGTTTTTGTTGTCAGGGACACTCAACCTACAAACAAAGTCCAGATCAAACCACATTTGGGCCAATCTGAATCTGGCTGGGTTTTAAACCAGTTCAGTCTGGTGTGGATTTTAGTTGATCAACTATAAAAACCTCCTTTTCCAAATCCTTTTTAAAAAATTAGGTAATCTAGTAAAGACATTTACAAATTACCATGTACCTTTGTTAAACAAGCAAAAGTCGGAGAAAATACTTGAGTGTTTTGACTGAAGACCTAATTCTATTTGTTAAACATAAGAAATAGTTGCCTGCAACATATCCTGGAAAACTGGCACAGGCAAAGAGGCAAAGTACGACTGCACAGAGCTTACAAGCTACGTTCTAGGAGCCACTCTGCATCAAGATGACACAGAATGGGCTCAAGTCTTTAGGAAAATATTTTTATTCCTGTCAGAGTTAGTGCCTGTTTTAGAAATACTGGCTAAATATTTCAACGAGTGGTCTTACATTCAATTGATTCTGATTAGCAAAACTCAGGTCTGGTTATGTTTGAATTATTAATGTTAGTCTGGTTTCAGGGATAAACAGAAGCCTTGTCCTTTAACTGATGATAGAGACCAGCCAGGCTGTAGTCGTAGAAGGTAAAAACTTCAGCATGTGCGATAATGTGAATATTCATCAGTACAGTATTGTTGTGGAAAAACTGCATTTAAGAAAAAACTCGCTAAGATGATAAATTGGACACATGAGAAAATGTCTTCAACACTTTGTACATTAATAAAACAACTCAATCTGACGTAACGTGACATAACGTAACGCAGTGTAAAGTAACGTAGCGTAGCGTAATGTAGCATAGAGTAATGTAGCGTAACGTAGCGTATTTTAGCGCAACGTAAAATGTCATATTATCCTCAGTTACCTTACTTATGTAACGTAACTGAATTCAACTAAACTTAACTGAACTTAACTCTAGACAATGTTTTTAAATCTGTATGAGTTAATCTGACTTTTACGTGACTTAGCTCGACCTAAGCTAACTGAACTAGCTAACTGAACTGATGTGTTGCTGTATGCCTAAGTTCAGGGTAAATGTTCAGCCAGTAATGAACAATTTTGATTTTTTTTTTCTTTCTTCAGAAAGTCTTCTCAATATATATTTATTTATTTGATCAACGTAGAAATGTTCTGCTCTTGTTGTTGAATTAAACATTGTGTGGGTTTTACTGTTGAAATGTCTTATTTTTACAGCTATGACTCAAACTGCAGAGGTGGAGTGAAGTCATGCTGTGAGATTGTTCACGCAATGGGACAAGTCCTGACATATTGGGATGATTCAGTGTCTACAACTGGAAAACCCATGTGGGACATCACTTTTTTTTAAAAATAGCCACTGCTACAACCACAGCCAAAATTGTAACCACAAATGAGTGCTAATTGGGCTTTAAATGTGTTTTCACGTGCTGAAGTGACAACCAGAATTTGTTCATGTGTTGTGACATATTTATTTTCAGTGTTCATATTGGGTAAGGAATAACTCTCAGTGCAAGGACTCGTGACTGCAGCAGAGCAGCACGAATCCCAGTTAACTCAGTGCTGTCGCAACAAATGACCAAACAATGTGTCAAAATAAATATGCGTGGCTTCTACAACTATAGTCACGCAAATGGTAATAACAAACAAGCTGGTTGTCAGAGTAAAAAAAAAAAAAAAAACATTTTTAGATGGTAATATCAGAGTCCGGATAAAAATTGTTGTTTTTAGTATTTAGAATTTTAATTATTTCCTATGCGGCCGATGGAGCTGTGATGCTCCACAGAACAGCTTGGCTTTTTGGGTGTCTGTCCTGAGGCATTTTTATTGCTCCAAAATCTCTGTTTTCTGTTAGGCTAGATACATAAAGTTAAAAAAATAATAAAAATGTGCGTACTACTGA